CAGGGGGCAGCCCCCCCAGTGCCTCTCTCTCCACTGCTGGCCCCCCCCAGCAAAGCAAGCCCCCTGGCAGAGCAAGCCCCCCCAGGAGCCGGAGCGGGGGGGCTGGGCCGCCCCGCTGCTCCCTGCGCTGGCAGTGCACAATGGACATGCCAGCTGCTGCTCTGCTCCCAGCTGCCTGACGGGCCTAGGAGGGTTAGGCACTTAGCAGAGCTATTACGCTGTCAGGGGCTGTCCGCCCCTGCCGGCCGCCTGGGGCCCGCGAGCCATGCTGCGGGGAGGGGGGGCAAGGCTGACACTTGTGCTGCCGGTCCAGGGAGTCCCCTAGGGCAGGGCTGCCTAGGGCACAGGGCCCTCCCCTGCCTGGGCCTCCATGCCGCACCTCCATGGGGCTTGGGAGGTGGGCAGGTCCAAGGACATGGGGGCCCTGCTCACGCTGCCCCTCTTGCTCTCTCAGGTGGTCAAGAACAACCTGAGCCCGGTGTGGGAGCCGTTCAAGGTCTCGCTGAACTCCCTGTGCAGCTGCGAGGAGCAGAGGAAACTGAGGGTGAGGAAGGGAAGGGGGCAGAGCCTACGTTGCCTGCCCTTTTGGGGAGCAGAAAGGGACCACTCCTGGAGTCCCCTGCAAGTGGGGCTTGCCCTGTCACCATGCAACCTGCCCCCAGGTTCAAAGGCAGCTGGGGCATGATGGAGCAGAGGAAATACATCCTCACGCCATAGGCTTGACCTGTGGAACTCACTGCTGCAGGACACTCGTGTGTTTGTGAGTGTAGCCGCTGCAGTGACTGGGGCCATCAGCCCTCCCACTTCAGTGCCTGAACCAGCCCACAAGAAGAGGAAGTGCCTCATCGTGTGCTGATACCTACCTGTCCAGGTGTGTCCGGCCCTTCTCCTGAAGTGTCTCGTAGGAGGGGGGATGCCAGGACTGGGAAAGGCCTGCCTCGTGAGGGAGGGAAGGTGGGTCTCTGGCTGAGCCGGGCTCTCTCCTCACAGGGTGTGGTCTTTGACTACGACTCCCGGGGGAAACACGACTTCATCGGCGAGTTTTACACCACCTTTGAGGAGATGCAGAAGGCAACGGGGGAGAACAAGGTCTGTGGTGAGGGGCGGGGCCCTGCGTGGCTGAGCGGGCCGGCCGCTGGTGAACGTGCCCGTGAGGTGACGTGGCTGTCCCCTGCCTCAGCCCCTGGCGTGTGTGCTCTGGGTGTTTGCCTGAGCTGCTCCCCGTGCGGGAGGCAAAACGTTTTCAGTAGCCCCCGGCAAGTGTCCCAAAACTGGGGCTTTCCCCTTTTTCAGGCTTTGCGAGGGGGCGTTTTCCCCCAAACGAAAATGAACAACGGTCGGTATTGGTGTGGGGGGGGGCTGTTTTTCCCCTTTTCTCCCCTGCTCTTGCCATGGAAAAGGAAAAAAGGGAAAAAAAACCCAAACTATCGAGCCAACCCCCCCAATGCTCTGGGCTGTTTTTTTTTTTTTTGAGCTGTTTTGAGACACAAACTTACCCTGGTGGGCGTAGGCCAGGCGCGGCTGGGCAAGCGGCTGCAGGGATGTGCGGGTGATGGTACCCGTGGGTGTGGGGTGTGGCACTGCCGGGCGCACCTGGGAGGCTGGGCTCCGGGGCCGCTCGCCTGCCGATCCCACATCTCCGCTGCTGTGGTGGCACGTTGGAGAGTCCCCCGACCCTGCACCCCCATCCCAGCCAGCTGTGACACTGTCAGCCAGTGGAGTAGGAGTTTTATTGGTTCTCAGGGACACAGGCGATGGCAGCAGGAAACACTGAGAGCAGACAGCCTTACCCCCCCGGGGGGAGGGGGTCAAGGGCCCCTGCCTGCCGATCCCACATCTCCGCTGCTGTGGTGGCACGTTGGAGAGTCCCCCGACCCTGCACCCCCATCCCAGCCAGCTGTGACACTGTCAGCCAGTGGAGTAGGAGTTTTATTGGTTCTCAGGGACACAGGCGATGGCAGCAGGAAACACTGAGAGCAGACAGCCTTACCCCCCCGGGGGGAGGGGGTCAAGGGCCCCTGAACCCCCCTGTCCTGGCTCAGGAGACCCCCCCTGCCCCACGGAGCCCTGCACAGACACAGTCACTGGGCAGCACAGGCTCCCAAAAGCAGACAGCCCCCCCGCGCCGTCACCGCTGCTTTCTCTGTCGTGCTCCCAGGTGCAGTGGGACTGTATGAACCCCAAGTACAAACTCAAGAAACGCAATTACAAGAACTCGGGTGTGATCATCCTACTGGATCTGAAGGTGAGCGGGGAGCAGAGCCCGGCCCGCCCTGGGCGTCTCGGGGGGCTCAGCGTGCCCTGGGCAGTAGGAAGGGCCCCGTGCTGACCCTGGGGGAAGCCGCCCAGTGCCTGGTGGCGACTCAGTGCCCCAGCGCCATGCGGGCCCCTCGATGCCAGCGGGCCTAGCGGGGGGTGAGGGAGCCTTTGTGCTCCAGGGGAAGGCGGCTGGTCGGAGCAGCCGGCGGGGCGGGCTCCAGCTCTGAGGCTGG